TCACCTTGCGGAAATCGCCTTTGCGACTGCGATCAAGGGTTTGGCGTTTCCGGCTGGCTGATGAGGCTTATAAGTTGAGGGTTCACTAGCGCCCCAGCTTCTTATACCATTGAACCCTGAACCACTCCGGACTTCGCCAAGCACGCTGTTGCCTCGACAACGGAAGCTGGGGACATGATGTTGAGACATCTGCAATCCACACAGAGCGACGTGCCTTCTTCTCCGTAGCTGTACTTCTCCACGCCCTTAACCTTGGGCTCAGAGCTTGGAGATCTGAGGACACTGGAAAGCCCACACCGAACGAGATTTCGTTGTACTTTATCGGGTGATGATCTTGATGCTCTAAATAAAGGCTTCATAAACATCTGTTTTCGATCCTTCGAATGACCTGTATATCTTTTTGCTCTCGCTGCTTTACGGCAGGCTTACGATTTCTGAGAGCCGGGATCTGACAGGACCGAGGCTGGTGAGGTGACGATACAAGTGAAACCGAACCGAGCGGACATGGCTCACGAACGAAACGAGTCCTGACGCACACCACCGGCTAGCGTAGGGGCCTTAATCGTTAGAACAGGGCTCTGGGGTATATATGGGTATATAATATTATGTATGATTGTAATCAGGAGCCCCCAAACTAGTATAGGTAATTATTTAGTTGTCTCGGCTCTTCGCTTCAGTCACGGCCTTCGAGGTCGAAGACACAGCAGAGCAGTGATCAGCACCAGTGTTTCTACTAGGGTTTTCCAGAAAAGCCTAGTAGTCGTCGTATCAGTAATAGAAGAAAGCGCTTGCTACTGCTACCGCATTTACAAGGAAGATGGCTACCGCAACTGCCATCAGTTACTTGAGGACGAGAGGTTAAAGTTGTCCGAAACTCATACTGTACTACCATGTACTACGTGTCCTGTTAAGCTTATCGATGACCAGCAGCGCTTGACTCCGGACGGTTCGCGTTTTGCAATTGTTGTGACTCTCAGTTTGCAGGCGACTTCATGAAACCTGTAAGTTCCTCAAGGTCCTGTCAAAGCCCTCAGCGCGGCGACTGTACCCCCAAATCTAAATCCTAAAGATGAGATCCTTTGCAAGAACCCCCGCCCGCAATAAGGTACCACTGAACTTCAGAACCGCTTCTACCCTATACTATCGGGGCCTTAAAAAGTAGAATGGAGTTTTGTGGTACATTATATTAAAATCATAATCAAGAACCACCAAAAAACTGTATTGGTAATTGTTTCGGTCCCTATAGTAAGCATTGCTTGCTGCGACACCTCAGCGATGCCCAGCTGTGGCTCTTGCGAAGAGGGATCGGAATGCTTCCTGGGATGGTGTGCTGTGGATTTAGCCCCTTTTGTCAGGGTACCCGCTTGGAGGCTTAGAGTCTATAGGGTGAATCTTTGGATCTCGCGACCAGGATCTATGAACTTGTTGGAGAGGCTCGGCTTTATCGGACCGTTCTGCGGCATAAAGCCAACAAACCTGCGGCAAGACATGTGAACCCTTAGAGAATGATTTGCTCATCCACTGTCCTATGCTATACCAGCGACTATTAGTATGTGACACGAGAGCATCGTAGGCGTAGTAGCACGTATGGTAACGTATACATTATCGTAATTAGCAGCAAAAGAGGTCTCCATCTCAAGAAAGCAGCAGCTTGATGACGACAGACTGGCGTCCAGAGGTGACCTTGGATGTCTGCACGCGACATATTCAGAGCCGCAGTCCACTGACATGCCTGAAACCTCGAACCGCTTTTGACTCAGTGTGCACTCCGTCTAGTAAGGCTCAGTTGCCGGGTTGAGTCAGATTCCCTTTTGATCTGTTTGCGCGAAGCTTCTTGTTGCTCGTCGGACTTGGGTTGTCTCCCTGATAGCAAAGAACAGCTAGAGTCACCAGAACTGTCAATAAACTTCCTCAGCAAAGCCCGAAGAAACAAAACATGAAGCTCTTGGTGCATCTCGCTTCGGCCGACATTCTCAAACCCTTCTAGACGGCACCACAGGCCCAGGCATTTTGTTGAGCGATTGGGACACCCTCTCTCCCCTCCCGTGCCCGCTTCCACATTGAAGTTGACCCTGGGCTGAGAATTCATGCTTTTCACATTGCGGCATAAGCCTTGCGCAATGGTCTCACGTTGATGATGACTGCGGTTCCCACACATCGTCTGAAATCACTGCAGCGAAAGACTGGAAAATAATAATTTCAGAAACCTTCGGCAGATAGCCTTCAGTCGTGCAGGGAAGTTCTGAACCTAAAAGTTGCGGCCAGGAAGCTGTGGCGCAGTCCAGGCCATCAAATCCCTCGTTGCACTTGCACTTGCCTTGGCAAGATCTGTTACATCCTAACCTCCTGAACATACACAATGACGGACAACCCAGCCCGCATTCCCGGCAACCTAATTTCTACACCTCAAGGCGCACCTCAAGGCCAACTCTGAAAGTGCACAGCTGGAAGGTTCGGACAGTTTTTGCCAAAGGTATCAGGCTTGCCGGTGGAGCTTCGGCGTGTATTTGTCGGTTTGAGGGGGGGCGGATGCAGGCCTTATGAGCGAGGAGTTTAGGGTCTCCATCTCATGGGCACTGGACAACTCGACGTCCAGATGAGCTGCACACCACACATGCTCAAACTCCGATTTCAATCCTCATCAAGCACGATTGAAACCCGACAGCATGACACACCACTGGCCCGAGATCTGACGATGTGAAAACTCCGTATGCCTCAAATCCCATCTCCCCCCTCCCCCACAGAGAAAGCTGCATACACCGCGCAGGCCATCACACAATAATCCCACCACGCGACACTGTGACATCGACACCCTGCAGCAGCGAAGCCTTAACGGCCTTAAAGCCCCAAACCTGCAGGCGCTAGAACAGTAGTGCCAAAACATGCGGGGCACCCTGGAAGCAGTAGCCCGAGCCGGAGCAGTCGTTTGGGCAGCCTGGGCTGGACTTGCGATCTGGGGTTCTGGGGTACTTACGATGATCATTCTTGTCAGAATGATTGGTATTAAGATTGTCATTGGTACTACTACCGTTATTCGACTCTTCTTCTTCGTCTTAGAAGCAGTAGCAGTAGCAGTAGCAGTAGCAGCAGAAGCAGCAGCAGGAGCAGCAGCAGTAGCAGTAGCGGTAGCAGTAGCAGTAGCAGTAGCAGTAGCAGTAGCAGAGGCAGTAGCAGTAGGAGTAGTAGTAGTAGTAGTCGTCGTGGTGGTGGTGGTGGTGGTGGTGGTGGTAGTAGTAGTAGTAGTCGTCGTCGTGGTGGTGGTGGTAGTAGTAGTGGTAGTAGTAGTGGTAGTGGTAGTGGTGGTGGTAGTAATAGTAGGAGGAGCAGTAGCAATAATACTAGCAGCAGCAACAGCAACAGCAGCAGCAGCAGGGGCAGCAGC